GGGCGCGCAAAACGCTCAAACACCGAAATCCCATTATTTCCTATGGGTATGGTTCACACCTGGGCGTATTACAGGCCGTATGGACGCGCTACAAAACGCCCTACGCCCAAAGAAGTACAGGAGCTTCTTTGGGGCGTTTTTGTTGCGCGTTTCCATTGGGATACAGCCAAGTAGCCCTCGGAAACGCGAATCGCGGTAAAAAAGCGTGTCACGAAACGCACGACAAACGTGCATATTCGATACGCCTAGGTGTGAACCCAGCCTTAAGCTTTGAAAATGAAAGAGAGAAGCTAATTGGTTACTATAAGCAACTATTCCAGATTCTGCCTGCTCCAGTTTTGGTAAATTTCCCTCTTGGTGTTTTTTCTCATTCAGTCCCGCGAGCAGAGCAGGAAAAATATACTAATAGTGTAGATGGGAGAATCTTCCCTGCGGGTGATTGTATTGTGACAGCTGCGGGCGCCATATTGGCTGCAATCACTGTTCAGCTAACAATTTTTGGACCACTTCCTTCAACAAAAGTCCTCTGAAAAAATTGATTTCTGTCTAACGGAGGAGAGCCAATGGGGCCACTCTCCCTGACGCATCCCACGTGATCTCAAAATCATCTCCCTGACGCATGCCACGTGATCTCAAAATCATCTCCCTGACGCATCCCACATTATCTCAAAATCATATCCCTGGCGCATCCCACGTTATCTCAAAATCATGTCCCTGACGCACCCCACGTTATCTCAAAATCATGTCCCTGACGCATCCCACGTGATCTCAAAATCATCTCCCTGACGCATCCCACGTTATCTCAAAATCATGTCCCTGGCGCATCCCACGTTATCTCAAAATCATATCCCTGGCGCATCCCACGTTCTCAAAATCATATCCCTGGCGCATCCCACGTTCTCAAAATCATATCCCTGGCGCATCCCACATTATCTCAAAATCATATCCCTGGCGCATCCCACGTTATCTCAAAATCATATCCCTGGCGCATCCCACGTCATCTCAAAATCATATCCCTGGCGCATCCCACGTCATCTCAAAATCATGTCCCTGGCGCATCCCACGTTATCTCAAAATCATGTCCCTGGCGCATCCCACGTTGATACAATTCCATCTGTCAGCTGATGTCCTGCACTGAGGACCTGACTCTTTTCCTTGCTGGTTACCCCCTTGGGGACAGGTCCCCTTACAACCACTATACCTCGGAAGCAGATGTAATAGGACCCTGCTGCTAGAAGTGTCACCATCACCACCACCAACAGGAAGTGATCACGTCACACAGGCAGTGTCGTGGACACCCAAAGAAGGACCCTGCTGGATGTAGACAGAAAAGTTGAAGGCATGTAGATATGTTTAACCCCCTATGTCAGCGATCGGCTAGAGGTCATTTGAAGGAGCGGGTACTTGTTTTGTCCAGAGTTGGCCTTTAACGTGAACCTGTGATTTGTCATGCATGAAAAGGCAACAGGTTCCCAGTCCGGCCAAAACTTGTTTTTTCAGTTCTGGATAGAGTGGGGGAGGGTTAGCACCTCTATCAGGTTTTATTGCTGTCTGAAGTCTCGTGCGGTGGTAGAGCAAACTCTGTCCCTCCAGCTGCTGTAGAACTACAAATCCCATGAGGCAGTGCAAGAGTCTCACAGCCACAGATGGGATCTGTAGTTTCACCACCAGAGTTTGCCTACCCCTGCCTTGGGGTGATTTTACTTCACTAGGTGTCCTGATGAACACATGGACTCCCAGACAGGAAGTAAGGAAACAAATCAAGCTTATGACAGGAAGCTATTTTCAGAAGAGATCAGCTATGGCTGAGTGCAGTTTCCCTTTAAACCCCTGAGTCACGTGATTCAGGAGGGAAGGCCCCATCTGCTACCAGGAACACCTGGCCATTCTGGGTTGCTATAGGTTACTGCTGCAGTAGAGAGAGAGAGAGAGAGAGAGAGAGAGAGCGGTTGCCTATGACAACCACATGCCTTGTTTTGTAGTTACCAAGGGCAGCAGCTTTTATTCCCAGGCTACAGATGTCCTGTATAATGTGAGGTGTACATTCCCCCCTACCTCTCTTGTTCTTGGTGCCATGCTTCCTGGCAGCGGCCAGCTCCTGCTCGATCTTCTTCTCCAGGAACTCCTGCTTTTTGGTCAGCATCTCCTCGGTATCCCGCAGCTTCTGGATGGCCTCTTGGGGGCTCGGGCCCTTCGAGCCCTTACCCCCGGTGCCGAACAGCTTCCCAAACACCGACATGTCCCCCCGGTGTCAGCACTTGCCGAGCCGCCCTCACTTGTGACTGAGCTTACTACTTCCACCCCTGCGACGACAACAACCGGACCGTCCCGTCAGACCCTGCGTGCTTACGTCATCGAATCACGCGTTCGACTGGGAGGAATGAGTCACGGCTCCTCCGCCTGAGTGCACGGCGGCCATTTCGAATGTGGGCTGCTGTGCGTAAATGTTGCAAAAAAAAAAATTACGGGACAGCACAGCTCGGTGCTCTTATGAGCAGCAGCGCTCTGTTACCTCATAATGAGAGTTCTCTGATACGAACTACCAGTATGGCTGAAATTGATCGTTGTAATGTTTTCAGATTATTCGCGTTTAAATGCGCGCAACATCACGCCAGTGTCCGATAAGTCAATCAAGTGCTAATAATTGAGATAGGAGAGAAGAAAAGTGCTAGTTGCGATATGGTTTCAGTGGTTTTGCCCGTATTAAAGATGGCCGCTGCCGTGCGGAGTCGTCGGTTAAACGGCGCAAGTCTGTGCTGATGGTAGTCCGTGACGTCACGGTCGGCGGTGCTTGCAGCGGATGCGCATGCGCAGCTCAGACAGGGCGTGAGTGGGCATTGGGAAGGAAAGTGTGACGTAGATAGAACTACACCTGGCAACAGAATCTGTTTCAGCAGGTGATGAAGTCATATTTTACTGGAAGTCATTATCTGGTTCCTGACCCGAACAGTTCAATTTATTTATAACAGGTTTATAATTTGTCTGCGTCCAGACAGGGCCGCTCATCTCTCTGTAGCCACAGGTAACCGCCAGCATGCGAATAGCGGCAGACAGCTGCGGCTCCGTGTCATACTTTGTAGCGGCTGAGCAGCCTCAGCTATTCGGAAATGATTCCAGCCGCGAGAACCTGCTGCCGGACCTAATATCCGGGTGCAAATGAGGCCAAAGAACTAATTTTGGTCACTTTGGAAAGGTTTTCTCTCATTTCCTGTTGTGTTTACAGGACAGGAAGCAGTTCTGGTGACAACTGCGTCCTCAAGACAGGTAGTGAAGCGAAATCTCAAAGGGATACAGGTAGCAAATTCAACATCTGTGAGGGGTTTGAGCCGAGCTACACTATATTACCAAAAGTATTGGGACGCCGGCCTTTACACGCACATGAACTTTAAAGGCATCCCAGTCTTAGTCCGTAGGGTTCAATATTGAGTTGGCCCGCCCTTTGCAGCTATAACAGCTTCAACTCTTCTGGGAAGGCGTCCACAAGGTTTAGGAGTGTGTCTATGGGAATGTTTGACCATTCTTCCAGAAGCGCATTTATGAGGTCAGGTACTGCGAGCCCGGAGAAGGCCTGGGTCACAGTCTCCGCTCTAATTCATCCCAAAGGTGTTCTATTGGTTTGAGGTCAGGACTCTGCACAGGCCAGTCAAGTTCCTCCACCCCAAACTCGCTCATCCACGTCTTTATGGACCTTGCTTTGTGCACTGGTGCGCAGTCATGTTGGAACAGGAAGGCGTGATAGCAATAAGCCCTCAGGGGCAGGGCCCTCCTTACCATCTTATCTTAAATCCTGTATAATAATAATAAAGTTAAGTGTAAACAAAAAAAAAGAATTAAAAAAAAAACCAGAGTTTTTTTAAGTCCCCGCCCCCCACATACACAAGGAAACTTGCATCAGGTGCGCCTATGTGCGAAAACGACGATTGCGCCCATTACATATCACAGCAAACTTCGTAGCGCAAGCAATAATTCTAGGGCCATAAATCACTGATAACACTAAACTGATGAGCGGTAAAGGCTTTTAAGCGTCGCCTATGGGCAATTTTGGCTATAATCGTTTTTTGCAAATTCATGGACGCGCACGCAATTTTAAGGCTTGACGTGTTTGGTGTCTATTTACCCGACGTGACCCCGCCTTTTATATTTTAAATATAAAAATTGGGTAATAATAAATGTTTCCTAACATAATGAAGGAAAAACTGTTTATCATCAAAAGGTTCGGTACTTTTTTCCTTATATAGTTTAAAAATAAATAAAAACCGCATAAAATAAAAAGCTCTATATTTCCCCAAAAAATGGTATAAAATTCATTTCAGTACAGCGTTGCATGACGGAATAAACGTCAGTCAAAGTACCGCAGCGCTGAATACTGAGGGCTTGTTCACGCCAAGTGCGGAGCAGTTACAGAACAGATCAAAACTGCGTCCAATGTATTCCAATGGTATTTTGGGCTCTAGTCCACACCGCAGCGTTCAGTTCCAGAGCATGTAAAAAAAACTGCAGCAAGCCCTATTTTTCCTGCTCTGGAACGCATGCAAACGCATCAAAAACGCATGCAAACGAACTGGGACGCACTGAAAGCCCAATTTAGACTTTAAAAAAAAAAAACGACCTGGAACGCATCAAAAAACGCGCTATAACACACTGCACTGCGTGTGCAGAAACTCATGCAGATTTGGTCTGCATTTGGTGTGAACAAGCCCTGAAAAATGGCATGGGCAGGAAGGGGCTGTAATCACCCCGGTCAGCAAGTGGTTAATAACCTCCCATAGTGTTGGTTCACTTTCTGTGTGACCGGATTGCTAATATTTCTGGTATCCTCACAACGTGATACCCAGAGCAGTTTCAGCAGACACGGGAACCCTGTGACACAACCATCATGTGACATGGAAAGTTGTGCTGTGCGCTGACTCATATAGAAAGAGGAAGTGATCTACAGCAGTGTGATGGGAGCCGGGATGGAATCTTCATGGAGAGAAGCCTCGGGAAAGGCAGCAGTCAGCTGATGGTGGTTTCTAGGGAGGTTACAACATGAACACTGCAAAGGAATATTTCTAGGGAAGCATCTCTGTATTTGGGAAGCTTTGATCGCAGCGTATGGAAGGTTCATTCAGAATATGAAATCAGTAGTAAACCGCTAAGGGAAAATGGACATTTTATGCCCCCAGAAAGTGTTTGCCATATTATCATATAATGGCCGACTTACCTTGCAGGCGATCCTCTCTGGCGCTGTGATATCAGCGCCATCTTCACCCGCTTTAGATACACTTTAAAGTCCTACTCCACTTTACACTTTTTTTTTAAATAGTCTCCCAGCAACTATAAAATAAAAGAAGTAGCTGCAATACTCACCTCCTCTCCAGTGCTGCCCCCTCCCCCCGCCCTTCTGACGTCCAGTCCAGATCCTTTTCTGGGTTAAATGTCACCCAGCATCATTTAACCCACTTTCTGTTAGTACCGGGCGTCATGGCCCTAACCGCAGCACCCTGCACTCACAAAGATGCAGAGAATGGCGCTGACATTGTTACGTCAGCGACACACTCTGCATCATTGAGGACTGCCAGTGCCAGAGAAGAGGTGAGGAGAAAAAGGAGCAAGTGTGTCATGTGACCATCTTTAGCTTTTTTTAAACTTTTTTTTTTTTTACTTCACTGCTATCAAGTCCCCTATATGATAACATTTTAGTGGTGACAGGTTCTCTTTAGGGCAACATTAGGGTTCTACTAGACCCCTAGTGTCACTTTTCCAATGCAAAGTAGCTATTCAAACGCAGATCGCGCTTGAATAGCTTTTTCCCCCCAATCTAGCTGGAGGATGACAGCTGAGGAACAGGAAATGAGGCAATCAGTGTAGTTTCCGGCTCCATTCAGCGGGGAGATCGTTGAACGGATGTGAGGGTGACATTAGGGTTCTATTAGACCCCTAGTGTCACCTTTCCACTGCAAAGAAGCTTTTTAAGCGCAGATTGCACTTGAATAACTTCTTCCCAGGCTTCTCTAGCCATTGATGGCAGCTGAGGAACAGGAAGTCATGCAATCAGCGTCGTTTCCGGCTCCATTCAGCGGGGAGATGGTTGAACGGATGTGAGGGTGACATTAGGGTTCTATTAGACTCCTAGTGTCACCTTTCCACTGCAAAGAAGCTATTCAAGTGCAGTTTGTGCTTGAATAGCTTCTTCCTCCGGCTTCTCTATCTGGGGGATGACAGCTGAGGAACAGGAAGTGATGCAATCAGTGTTGCTTCTGGCTCAGCGTGGAGGAGATCGTCGAACAAATATATTATCACAAAGATGTATTCCTATTCCAATGCTGATGTTGTAACAGGATAGTATATGCCGCGACATTACAACGGCTATAAAATGAACTCTGTACAGATATAAAAAACACCATTTAATGAAGTGTATTCCTTAAAAAATAACTAAATGCATTTGTACATACAACCAGCATAAGTACCTGAATCTGTCTTAATATGACCCACTGTCATGCCCTGCACAGCAGCACTCTGGGAGAAGGAGGGGCAGCACTAGAAACCAATCAGGCTCTGCTGCATGTACATTTATTGACAGGGAACATGCTGACAGGAGGAGAGAGCAGAGCTGATGACTTATCAGTGTGTTATTGCTCCTACATTGCTCAATCGCCACTGTGTTTCCGTAACAGAGGAAGCGGTGTCGCTCTCCTAGCTTTGCTGTCTGGCAGAGGTCCTCTTGGTAGGCAAAACAGCCACTTTCATTTGGGTATTCCGGCATTTGCCTTGAGCCCTTGACTTGATAACGCTCCTCTGTTTTTTTCATGGTTATATCTCCTTTTATGCATCCAAATTTGAGCCATATTGGGGTTATATGGGAGCCCATAGCAGAAGGAATATTTAGGAGATTCATGAATTGTGTTGCATAATGTTTCTGTTCTCCCAGTCTAGTCACTCTGGGCTCTGTATATATATAGGCACTGCCAGCATAGAACAGGACGGGTCCGTGGCATTCTGCAGCTCTGCCAGTGTCACGGTGGTGGTGGCTGTGTTGTCAGGACCAGAGGACACGTCTAAGCTGTCGCCGGCAGCTCCGGCCCCTTCCACCACAATGGAAAGTACAGCGCCGGATTGCTGGAATCTCTCTTCCCCCGGACCGTTGTCATCGAGCCGCTGTTCTCTCGTCTTCAGCTCCGTCAGCGTCGTCGTCTCTTCCTCTGCAGCAGTCTCTCCATCTTGCTTCCCTCGCCCTCTTTTCCTCTGAGTCTTTCTGACCTAAATGCATTGTGTTAGAATTAGAGGTGCACCGAAATGGAAAATTTCAAAACCGAAACGAAAGTGAAATAAAAAAAATTGTCAGGCCGAAACCGAAACTGAAAATGTTTTTATTTTTCCAAAACAGATCACTTCCCATTCATTCATAATTGAGGAAATAGTAAACATACTCTGTCCTCAATTATTTACACACACTCAGCGATCACTGATCACGGACTGCTTGCACGGCTCTCCTCTCTGACACGCTGTCACAGGAGGCTGAGCGAGCGGAGCGGGGAGGAGAGCCCAGCCTCCTGTGACAGCGCAGCCTGTCTCCGCCCCCACACCGCTCTGCTGGACTGTGATAGAAGGCTGAGCGGTGTGGGAGGAGAGACACTGGCCGCTCACAGCGCTCTGCTCCCGCAGCGCTCGCCGGCTGTCACACTTTCTCTCCTCCCGGCTGGGACACAGAACAGCGCCCAGCGGGGAAGAGAGAAAGCAGGGATGCGCCGATGTATCGGCACAAAAATTGCCCTTTTGGCATTTAGCCAAAAGTGCCATTTCCGGCCGATATGTTTCGGCGGCCGATATATCGGTGCACCCCTAGTTAGAATACAACATTGCCATCACAGTGCAAAGTAATATGTCACCTTACAATACAAAGTGTTGGCTTTAACCCTTTCGCTGCCAAGGCTTTTTTACATTACAATCCATATTTTTATGTCTGAAAATTATATACCCCCCCCCCCAGGCAGAGACTAACTTTACAACAGCTTACATTTCCTTTCATTTCTAGGCAGTACCAGCAGCAAAGCAGAAGATAAAGACTGCTCCGCTTTGTGTGAACTTCCGAGCCTATACGCAGCAGTCTGACACCCCGGCTCAGAACTACACCATTTCTATTACCAAGTGTGTCAAAACTGCACAGAAGAGAATCCTGTAACTTGAGGAGGCAGGCCCATTCAGAACCCCTGTAATCTATCTGCCCTGGTTTACATAAAACTGAGATTTAGATAAACTGAGTGGAGTTTTTGACTTTAGCATAGCTGCACTGGAAGCTTACTGACAGATTTCATTTAGAAAGGCCAGTCCCTTTCATCTCCTTACCTGTTCCTTTTCATTGTCTGCGAGTAGTCGGCACTTATGCTCTTTCAGATATTTCTGGCGGGTGAATCCTTTGCCGCAGTTGGGGCAGCAGAAGCGATAATTGCCGGTGTGGCTCCTCTGATGCTCTATCATATGTGCGCGCCGACTGAATGACTTGGAGCAGTACTGACACTTGTGAGTTTTCATCCCTGATTCAGACAATGGGGAGGTTTGCTATTAAAACAAAGACCGAGCACAGCCGAAGCAGCAAGCATTGTACGGGAGAGTTCTGCCGCTCACCTGAATGTGACAGAACGTGAGCTTTCAGCTTATCCGGGCGATTGAATTCTTTGTTGCAGCCAGTATGAGACCTTAGGGGATGAGAAAATAAACTATTTGCTTGTTTACACATAAAGTTAGATTTGTTTTGTACTCATATATTCAAGGGACCCCGTATATTGACCCACAGTGACCAGTATGCTGATTTGGCAGAGTCTAAGGATACAGTGTAAAGAAGTCTAAAGATACCCATAAGATGGTGTTCCCAGTGTTGGAGGCCATGTACTCAAGGGACCCCATATATTGACCCACAGTGACCAGTATGCTGGTTTGGCAGAGTCTAAGGATACAGTGTAAACAAGTTTAAAGGTACCCATAAGATGGTGTTCCCAGTGTCGGAGGCCATGTACTCAAGGGACCCCATATATTAGCCCACAGTGACCAGTATGCTGGTTTTGGAGTCACTGAACTGCAGTAAAATCAGGTCTCCTACCTTGCTGGACAGGGAGCTGTGGAGCAGAGCTGTGTCATTTTCAGAACTCAAGGGACAGAAACACAAATCTTTTCATCCATGTAAAACAGCTCCCATGTATATATTGTATCTGTGTATTTAGGGCTTTGCCTGGAGGTCAGCTTTATCCTCCCCCTAATGCTTAACCCAGGGGTGGGCAACTCCGGCCCTCCCGTTGTTGTGGAACTACAAGTCCCATGAGGCATTGCAAGACTGACAGTCACCGGCTTGACTCCCAGAGGCAGAAGCATGTTGGGATTTGTAGTTAAAGAATAGCTGGAGTGCCGGAGTTGCCCACCCGTGGCTTAACCCTCAATGCTGGCCATCCATGGCTCAAATTTTAGCTGCTTTATCGGCTACAATTTGAGCCATGGGTGGCCCTGTCGGCACCACCAACAATTGTGATCTGAAAATTGAAGGAGCTGGGTGGAAAAGAGTGACCGCAGCCAATCAGATGCAGTCACTCTTTAGATATTCCAACAGCCAATAAGTCATGTGTAAGCACAAGTTGGTGAATTCAGAACACAGGGCAATGCTCCTCCAACCTTATGTGACAGCTTTTGAGCCAGCTAATTGGCCCCTTAGGGACTCATCACTGCATCCTCATGCAGTATTGACAAGCAAATCGGGTGTTAGGGGTGCGAACAGAGGGTAAGTATTAATGGGGTGAAAAATTTGGGGGTGGGCTATTAAGTGGGGCCCATTACTATGCCTTGACTAGGCAAAGTACAGGCAGGGCCAGATTTGCCACAAGGCCACCAAGGCGCAGCCTCGGGTAGGCAGGGCGCAGAGGGGCGGCAGGAGAACCTATCACCTCCAAATGCTATCACACAGGGGCTTGTTAGCTTCTGTGTGATTGCAATGAAGTTAAGTAAAAAGAAAAAAATTAATTATAAAAAAAATGAATTAAATACAAAATAAAATAAAAAAATAAGTAAGAAATAATAAAAAAAATACAGAAGCAATAGAAAAAGAAATCAAAACTAACCCTGCCGCCCCCGCCATCCAGTTGCCATTTTCCATTGGGGGGAGGGGATGGGGGGTTGGCAGGGAGGGGGACGCATTGAGGAACCTGGCCTTGGGGCAGCAGGCAGAGTAAATCCGGCCCTCAGTACAGGTTTACTAACAGGCGACATAGATGGATGTTTGCTTCATGTGAATGGTTAAAGCGTCGTGCCTTACACCTGCGGTTAGAACAGATCACATTCACAAGGCACTCACGCAAAGGGGCACTTGTACTGTTTGTAGGGTTCATGGATCAACATGTGTCTTTTTAACTTGTCCTTGCGATTAAACGCCGAGTCGCAGAGAGAGCATCTAAATGGCTTTTCACCTGCAATGACACAGAAGAGATACTGCCTCAATGGAGGAACTGCTGGAACAGATCATCAATATGGAGCCGATATGTAATTCTTCCACCCAGCGTAAAGCAGGTAAAATGATGTTCCTTCGCCACTTACACCATTAGTGTTAAATCAAATGTATTCCTAGTTAACCCCTTGTTAATCCTTAATTAACCCTAATTCACTTCTTCTTCACCCTTTCCCCATAGCGATTATTTTTTTGCTCTTAAAGTGACATTAAACCCTCAGATTTTTTAACATAAAACAACAGTGTAATGTGTGCCTTACTGTAATCCATGGTTGTTTCCCTTCTCTTTGCTGCTCTTCCTTTTAAATCTGTATCTGTTCTCATGCTGGGCAGAACTTCTGTTTTGCAGCAGACTGCCTTGTCTCTGAAATGGATACATGGTGTCTGTGTGTAGGTTCACAACCTGAGCCAGCACTACAGGAAGAGGCACTCAGCTGCATAGGGAAGTTCTCCCGTAGCATGAGAAGACATGAGGATTTAAAAGGTAGAGCAGCAAAGAGAAGGGAAACTACCATGGATTACAGTAAGGCACACATTACAGTATTGGTTTATGTTAAAAAATCTGAGGGTTTAATGTCACTTTAAGTAATGACAAGGTTATCGCCGAATAAACAGGCCCATAGGGGAAATGAAAGAAATTGCTCCATAAGGGGTATACGGGTGCAAGAGCTAGTTAGGGGCCATGTCACATTTGTGATCCTGTTGCTGGCAACAACTCTCCAGCAACAGGATCACTAAAAGGCCAAAGGAAATAGTAACTAGATTATACAGAATCACTCCTGTATTGGCTGAATAAGGCCTCGTTCACACAGGCCGCAGCCTCCACTGCCCTCTGAAAAGCTTTTCAGAGGGCAGTGTAACAGCGCCTACCGCGTGTTCAGGAGGCGATACTGCCGCCTCCTGAATGCAGTTTTTTTTAAAATCCCAATCAAGATTTTCGATTGCAATATCCATTCATCCTATTCATTGCACTGACCACATTGGACAAGTGGCACTGCCTGCCAAACATGACATGCTATATATTTTTTGCCATGCTGTGACACAAAGCATTGGGGACACGACAATGTATACAGCATTGTTTGGCCGCACTGCTGACATTAATATTATTATTATTACAGGAAACTCCCCGTTATTCGGCATCCACAAGGATTGGTAGATTCCAGATAAATGAAGTTTCTGGTTGCTTGAGAGTTAATATTAAAAATAGGTCTAACTAATGCCATACCCCATACTATACCATACCAAAAACTCTGTATTGACTTCATATTAATATTGAAATGCAGTAATCAAAAGCAAATTAAGACAAACAGAGACACACAAAAAAAAATTAAGACAAATAAACACACAATCGTTTCCAGGATAATACATGCTGCAGATCAGCAGAGCAATGAGTACACAGGGGATTTTTCTTTCTGGTTAGATGAGAGATCTGGTTAGTTGAATACCGGATAACAGAGAGTTTACTGTTATTATACAGGATTTATTTAGCGCCAACAGTTTGCGCAGCGCTTTACAATATAAAGGAAGACATTACTGTTACAATACAATTCAAGACAAGATGGTTTAGGAGGGCCCTGTCCGTTTGAGCTTACAATCTAAAATCTGACATTGCAGCAGGTGATTTTGGGGCGGTAAAACCAGGAGGTTGATTCCTTGCCACATTGTGAGTAATGACATACACAGTACCTGAGTGGATGTGGCTGTGAAGTTTCAGATAATGTTCCCGCCTGAATAACTTCTTACAGACCGGACACTTGTACCGCCCTCCTCCTCCATGAGTGGGCAGGTGGCGCCTTAAATATCTCTCACAAGGAAATACCTACAAGAAAAAAAAAAGGACACCAAAAGCTAAAAAAATGATCTAAAGCACTAATAGAAGGAGTAGGCATTGTGCCGTATTTGAGTGGTTTTAAAATTTGGGGTAATTTTGCAGGCCACGGATATACATAATTCAAAGCCGAAACCCGGGAGTTACATAAAATGACTCTGCAAGGGCTAAAAGCTCATTCAATCTAGCAGTAGAGGAATACATGTAATACTTACCTTATCCCTTCCTGCAGCAGGCTTTGACCATTTGTGTGACTGAGCCTTTTTCTTAAAGACATTCTGGCCAGCGGTTGCAGGTTGACATCATCAAGTACAATGCAGGACCAATAGCCTGGCATTATGCAAGAGAACGGCGAGGAGCAGCCCACCAGAAATATAATATGCTCAGACCTTTCTGTATGACATGACAACACAGCTCTGAATTCCTAAGAATGTGGTGTCAGTCCTACCTAGTTCATTACTAATGGGTTACAAAGAACACAGACCTCTCCTTACTCTTCCTCATCTACATAAACAATCCTCATTTTCCCCCCTCCCCATCTTTATAACCCCCACTCACCCCCCTCCTCATCTCCAGAACTACTCCTCATCTCTTTCATGCTCTTCATCTCCATAACCCCTCCTCATCTCGTCCCTACTACTTATCTCCATAACTCTTCCTCATCCCTCTTCATCATTCTATAACCCCTCCTTATCTCCATAACCCCTCCTCATCCCTCCATAACCCCTCCTCATCTTGTCCCTACTACTTATCTCCATAACTCTTCCTCATCCCTCTTCATCATTCTATAACCCCTCCTTATCTCCATAACCCCACCTCATTGCATCCCTCCCACTCATCTCCATAACTCCTCCACATCCATCCATAAGCCTTCCTTATCCCTCCTCCTCAACTCCATAACGCCCCTCCTGGCAGCCACGTGTTGCAGCATGGCAATGCACACAGCAACGCATGCTGCAACACACACCCGCTGGGAGGTGCTTTGGGTTGCTATTGAGAATCAATGGCAAACTATGCCCCAGCACACCTAGTGGCAAGTGGTTGCTATCTGACAATTCCACTTCTTCCTCCAGTTTTATTCATGGATTTTATTTCTGGTCCATTGAACAGATGAGAGGATTAAGATGACGGACAGGGCTCGGCTCTCCTCACCTTCTGGCAGTGTGGACAGGGGTAGCTGTGCGTGGCTGACTGTAAATGTTGCTCCAGGGCCTCTTGTGTGGAGTATTTATTCATACACTTCAAACACCTAAAAGAAGGAGACAATTACTACTTTATAACTAAACCTTAGGTCCCTTTCACACGGGCGGCCCGATCGGGTCCACACGTCAGTTTATCAGACAGACCCGATCGGATGCCCAATGTAAGTCTATGGGCAGCAATGTGTAAACGGAAGGCCGTCCGTTTACACCTGGTTACCCCTGACTCCAGCCAGGTCCAAAAAAAATGGACGGACCAGAGTTCCATTTTACCGAACCTGATCATGCCGGATCGGGGCTAACCTGATCTAAATGGACACAAGTACATGTACATCTGACTCCCCATAGACAGACATGGGGCCCGGTCACATCAGTTATTTCCTCCATCACAAGATGGAGGTAAAAACTGGATGGGCACGGGTGTCACAAACGTGACTGCTCTGGTCAGGAGGGGAACCATGCACTGATCCCTTCCTGATCAGCCCGTGTGAAAGGGGCCTTAAACAACACATATTACAAGTATCTGCACATCTTTCCATTGAATCCATCACACATAATCTGTGTATTAACCCTTTCGCTGCCAAGCCCTCCGGAACATTTTTCAAATCAGCTGGCCAAGCCATTTTTGAATTTATTCACCTTTATCCTCCCCAACTGCTACATAAAAGGTTATGCAGGGAAATGAGGAAGGGGTGGAGGAGCAGGGCCTGCACAGACAGTAATTAGACTCTCCCAGAGAAGAAGTGGGCTATGACATGAAAAGAGGGAGGAGCCTGTGCTAGGGAATTGACTCTGAAGAAGTCAAATTTGCTAGCAAGTTCAGAGTCACTTTGCATGGCAATAAAAAAACATTTATGGAAAGGAAAAAGTGAGCATTTAAAATACATTGGGGGGAATTTATCAAAACTGGAGCGGACAAAATCTGGAGCAGTTGCCTATGGAAACCAATCAGCTTCTCTCTTCAGTCTGTTCAGTTAAGCTTTGGAAATGAAAGGTGGATGCTGATTGGTTGCCATGCACAGCTGCTCCAGAATGTGTCTGCTCCAGTTTTGATAAATTCCCTTAATTATTTTTCTGTACTTTTTACCTGCATTTTTTAAAGTTGGTGACAGGGTCTCTTCAAGCAGGGAAGCTAATTACATTCCTTATTATAGAGACAGTTTTTAGTTTTTTTACATCTTTGTGGGTGTTGGTTCACATGAGGAAGTTATTAGAGAGAAGGGAAGTAAAGGTAGGGGACGGGGTTAGGGAGGGGGATGGGGAAGGGGAAATTTGGAGTTTAGGTTGGGGGTAGAATAGGTACAGAAGTTGTATAGGACGGGGGTAGGGAGGGGGATGGGGAAGGGGAAATTTGGAGTTTAGGTTGGGGGTAGAATAGGTACAGAAGTTGTATAGAGTCTGTTCTTCTCTCATTCCTCCAGAGGCGTTTTATATTAAGGAATGTATTATGTAAAGTATAGAGAAGTTAAATGCAATAAAAATATATTAAACAGAAGATGATCATAAAGAGACACAGGTTTATAAAACAAATTCTCCCTCCTAGGTGAGTGTGTGAAAGAGAGAAAGATGTAAGAAAGGAGTGGATTAATGCATAAATGTATAATAAGAGATGTGTAATCGATAGGGTATTTTTAAAGTATTAATAACATATATGTATAATCCAATGGAATGAGTAAAAATTGTATGATTATGAAATAAGAATAAAAATATATTAAACTTATTATAGAGACAGGCACTAGATGGAGCATTTATCTTAACAGCAACGATGACACCATGAAAGTGCAAGCACCCACAAATGTGGAGGCCAATGTTAGACCATTGATTCAAAATGTCTACACACTGAAAATGTGTTCTACTTTCCCTTTAAACTCTGCAAAACAAAAACTGTACATCTATTGAGATACTTTACTTGTATACAGCCATCTCCTTCTTGGGGGCGATCAGGGGCAGCAAGCTGTGAGAATACTGATGGACGCCCATCTCGTAGAGAGAGGAAAAGTCTTTGTTGCAGATGTGACATCGATAGGTCATCTCCTCCTGGTGGGTTTTGATGTGCTCCAAGAACTGGTCCAGCTTCTGGCAGGTGTGAACGCAGCCCTTAACCACACACTTGTATACCTGGGGAAAAGTGACAGCCAAATATAAGTCTTACACCTTTTCATCCCTTTTCAGACACAATAGGAAGTGAGAGGAAAGCTCTTCCAAGTAAGAGGAAATCCTCTCTTAGACAGGTGTCCCCATTCAAAGTTCTGCCTTCTTTTCCTATCCCACTGTTTTGGATTTCCATTCCCTTTCTGTCCCATTGACCACAGTCACCAAAGCAAATTGAGAAACTGAATCTCTGAGACTTCCCCAGTCAATGAGAACAAAAATAAATTGTGGCTTCAGATTTAATTCAAATATACTCCAGAGCTGATGCACATCTGCTTCTATTGCCTACCTGCTCCTGCTTATGTTGGGTCATGTGTGATTTGAGCTGGAAGTAGCTGGTATACTTGCTGGGGCAGAACTGGCAGTGATAGGAGCTGTCAATCATGACCACTTGCTTGGCTTCTGTCCCATCACATGACCCGCCTTGTACCGCATCCAAGTCCTGCGGCGAGGCCTCTTCTGACTGGACCTGGTTGGAGACGGCTAAATACAAAATGATGTCAAGCAAATTTCTCAGTGAGCAAGACAACATCATACAATGTTCCGCTATTCCCGTACGGCAGGGCTGGACAAATCCCAGGAGTCAGGTCGCCAATGCTCTCTAAAAATTACAGCTGGAGCCTAACTTTTTAGTTTTTTGTTTTAGTTGTTGTCAATGGAGCTAGCTCCCAAAAAAACTCCTGGATTGGACAAACTGGCTTCTGGATTCCATATTCATTTGTCACCCCTGCCATATGGTGCAAGAGATACCAACCTCCGTTCTCCACAGACTCTTCCTCCGATTGGGAGGTGCTCAGTGGCACCACCTGTAATGTCATGGATCCTTGTGAGCCGGTTGTATTCTGAGCTTTTGGCCAGACTTTGTGGGTCTGCATGTGTTTCTTAACATTGGACTTCTGTGCGAACGCTCGTCCGCATACAATGCACTGGAATGGCTTCTCTCCGGTGTGACTGCAAGGAATGAAAGTATTTATGTGAGCAGAAGAGTTATTCACATCGAGTTATGATATCTGGGCTGAGTTCACATGGATGGCAGCCTCCAAAGCCTTCTGAAATGCAATCTGCAGTGGAACACTTTGCAGTTTCAGAGGGCATTGGAGCAGTGGCTACCTAGCATTCAGGAGGTGATATTGCCACTTCCTGAATGCAGCTTTTTTTTAAAATCCCAATGAGGATTTTCCATTGGAATACCATACCACAACCTCAGTACAATTTATTGCAATGGCTGTGCCTGCCAAACGTGACATGCTGTATATTTTTTGCAATAATGTATACAACTGCGTAAAACCATAGATCACCCGCCTGGTTTACCCACCCCCTTGCTGCCCATGTGGATGAGGACTTAAAAGGAGAACTATGAGGTGAGTGATTTCCACTCATCCTCAAAGTTAGAGGCGACCTGTGACAAAAAAGCTGTCACAGGTCGGCTCTATTGATCGGGAAGTGAGCAGAAAAAAGCCGCCGATCCGCTCTCTTCCCGATCGTCTCCCCGCAGTGAGCGGTAACTGTCAGTCACCGTTCCCCACAGGGGTTCCCCCCTCCAATCCTCCAGCGCTGAGTGGAGAAACGGACGGGGGAGGTGTAGGCACAACTAGCTCTGCCTCTAGATAGACAGAGCTAGCTGTCACTCACGCAGCTGGGTGGATCTTGACAGTATTGTTGGGATCCGTCCCGGCTGCTGCGCTCTCAGTATATCGCGGGCAATAGCTCGCTATATACTGAGCTTTTGGTCACGAGAGGATGCTAGTATATGTCCTCCCATGACCCTAAAGAGAGCTATGGGGAAAAACACCCCATAGTTCTCTAAGTAATAAATACATGGGGGAATATACTAAAACTGGAGCAGCTGTGCATAGTAACCAATTTACTAAAACTGGAGCAGCTGTGCATAGTAGCCATTTAGCTTCTATCTTCCACTTGTTCAATTAAAGAAGAACTCCAGGATTTTTACAAAACCCATGCAGTGGTGCTATCCCCGTACTGGATGGGTTTAGGGCTAATTTTTTCTACGGGATGAAAATAAATAAGAAATACTCACCCAATCCTCAGTCCTGCCTGGCTGCTAGACTGGTCCGCAGCCTGTTCTCCCCCGGGCTCCATTGGTCTAAGGACCCGTGACATCATCACGTCTAATAGAAGTCTATTAGGCATGAAAATACTGAAGGACACACCACAGCTAAAGCAGAGGGAGAGATGTGAGCGGTCACTGCCACAGGACCGAGGATCAGGTGAGTTTTCTTCTTGATTTTCACCCCCTAAACCAAAACCAGCACATAACACTTGCATTGTGGGGGGTAGCTCCATTGCAAGGGTTAATTTGTAAAAATCCTAGTGATCTTCTTTAAGCTTTGAAGCTGATGTACATCTGTTCCAGATTCTGCCTCTCCAGTCTTAGTAAATACCCCTCATGGTACCTGCACCATTCATAGTTTAAATGACCCATTATCTTTTACAATATATTTGATATCACATTTAGTACTGTCATACTTCTATCTATGTCTTAGAAGACTTATTTAATATCATATATACTGTATGTCATGTAAACTGTTAATGTATAAAAGTATATTATGGCAGGCAAGAATGCTTTGAGGCAGAGCAATGATTTGCAGTACCCCATAGCATACAATTAGCGATCATCCTGTGGACTACACTGGTAAAACCCTCTCAGTGATCGGTCACTATGCACTGTGGTGTAGCACTGCTGTCTCTGCCATAGAACTATATAAGCCCCAATGGGTTTCCAAACCCCCAGATCACCCGTGAGGTTAACCCCATAATACTGACTGATAATGAAGAGAGATGTCTCACCTCCGAATGTGCTGCTGAAGGTCAAAGTTCTTCCCAAAGGCTTTATCACAGAAAGTACACTTCAGTTTGGGGGTTTTCATTTTTCCTAAATAAGGGTGTAAACCAAAATGAACTCCAGAACGACCCATGACTCTTGTAACTTCAATCCTAGCTAGTGCTAATACATATGCTTATTTAAAAGCTTATTTAAAAGTCCAACATATGATCTCTGCATTGAAACACGCAGCACTTGAAAGATGTAAGGTAACCGTGGCATGAGTACAGTAGTTCTGCACAGCCATAAGAATTCACATTATTTCTTCTCAGGATTCTCAGGAGTAGGAAACCTTGGCACTTCAGCTGTGGTGAAACTACAAATTCCATGGTCCCATCGCCTCTGGAAGCCATGCCTGTGGCCGTCAGAGTCTTACAATGCCTCATGGTACTTGTAGTGCCACAACAGCTGGAGTGCCGAGGATGCCTACCCCTGGACTATAGCATCCCTATATAAAATACATATACTAAAAATAAACAACTCTGGGGGAAATTATTATTATTAACCCTTGCCGTGTGGCTCCAGGGATCATTCTAAGAGCAAGCTGGTTCCAAGGAACTTTGTTATTTTCCTCCCTAACCAGAATGAGCAATTAACCCTTAACCCTCGCAGTACGGGGGTAGCCCCACTGCAAGGGTTAATAAAAAATGTCCCCATAGTTCTTCTTTAACACACAGGAGTATTTTCATTAAGCTGATGCTACCAATAACATCCTTACCGTTGGGCCCGCTGTTGTCAGACTTTGGCCGGCGAGTCTTGTTAGGGACGACGGCCTCCACACTCCCCATACTGTTCCCACTCAGGTCAGCACAGGGCGAGCTGTTACTTGTGGTTTTTAATTTCAGACCAAGTTTTCCGGGGCTGTATACCGGAGGGGTGTTATAAACTGTGCTTTCAACGCACTGACTTGGAACCTGCAAAAAATGATAGGTAAATATAATCCACTACTACCACTCCTTTTCTAAAGTCTAGAATATAATCCAACTAATAAGTATTCCCCAGATTCAATAAAAGTTTGCAAAGCGTCAATGTGGCATTGAAGCATGTCTATAAAAATGTCATATATTGCAGCTCACCAGTTCTTAAATGTGGTGGTTGAACCACATTTAAGAACTGGATGCCAAGGTGTGAAAATTTGCACAATTGATGCCACTGTTGACACCCTTTCGGCCGACATCCCTCGAAAAAAGCTGATGGAAGGAGCCCGTCGGAGAATATTTGAACGAACAGAGCCGACAACTAACAACCAATACAGCGGGGATTCCTCGATCAACGCTTGGCAACGTTGATGGAGGAATCTGTTCTATTTTTTTGAACTTCAAGTAGAACGGAAGCCATCATTTTTTGGGGGGTTTTGGATAGAATAAGGGAGTCTTATAAGCACTGTCAATTATTATTTTGTTGCCATCTGTGTTCCATGGGGGAGGTTTCCTTCTACTTCCTGTCCAATAGTCACAACATGAAGTGAGAAGAAATTCCTCCAAAGTGAGGAAAATCCCTGGTATCACCAGAACTAGTGTCCACATTGGAGGATTTCCCATCTATACTTGTTCTGTTAACAACCCAAAGTTCAGGATTTTCTTCCGTTGTCAGTGATAACGGTCACCAGGACAAATAGAGAGGGGGAATCTCCCTAATTGGGACACAGAGAGCCAATAAAAACCTGACAGGTTTCATAATCCCTCTCCACTCCATCCAAAACTAAAAAAATAAAAATATTGGCTTCGGGTACACTTTAAACAAAGCCCAAGAAAGACATAAAAGACATCATCAATGTATAAGGACAGCTGTAGACGTATAGCTTTACCTCTATATGGGTGTAGGGTGCCATGCCAAGCCCATGGATCTCCATCCCTGTGTTTCCTGGCATGCTGATCGGTGAGCTGTAGACCTGCACTACAGTACTGCAGGTGCTGCTGTTCGCTTGGACAGGAACCCCCATGAGGCTCTGCGATGGTGCAGATGGGACATGTGGAGGTGGTGGGTGGGGAAGTCGGGGAAGCAGAGACTGGGTGTGGAGGTAGGTGCCCCCGGAGTGCATACTCAGATTACTCTGGAAGATTAACAAGGTGAAGTCAGGTTTCATGTAAAACAATTACAGCACAAATCTTCCCCAACATATGGGCTACATCACAGGGGACAAAAGAAATAGATGAATAAAATAGCATAAAACAATATAAACACCGCCCACAGATTATGTATTTTATTTCAATTAAAGGAGAACTATGAGGTGAGTGCTTTTCACTCACCTCATAGTTCTAGCCAACCTGTGACAATGAGACTGTCACAGGTCGGCTCAGTAGATTGGGAGGTGAGCGAACACATACCGGGTTCTCTCGCCTCTCGATCCTGTCACAGCTCTCTGCCATGACAGGGGGAGGGGCTGGATTCCCCTCTCCACGCTCCGATCTGCCAGCGCTGACTGGCGGAACGGACGGGGGAGGGGGTGGGTACAGCTGGCTCTGCCTCTAGATAGGCAGAGCCAGCTGTCACTCACGCAGCTGGGCGGATCCCGTCATCTAAGTCGGGATCCGCTCCAGGTGCGGCGTCTCAGTATACCGCGAGCTGTAGCTCGCGGTATACTGAGCTTAGGGTAACGGGAGGACGCTAGTTTGTGTCCTCCCGTTACCCTAAGGAGAACTATGGGGAAAAACACTGACCCCATAGT